GTCTGGCAGTTGGGAAATTTTTATAGGATACTCGGCAAAGACAGGGGAACAAAACGTATCATTCAAATTTTTTTTTATGAACAGTTTTTTTTATGGATTGTACCAGAAAGTTACGTTTCTCTCATATATAGTACTTGACCTCTACTACACAGGCATATAATGAAACGAAATTAATATTGTGTAATTTTAATACACGACTCAAAACAAAAAAGTGGCGAAATACTTTTGACGTCGACTGTATTTGTAAGCGTTTGATCACAATCTACTTGTGCCTAATAACAATAGCCTACCTAAGTTGCTACAATAAAAAACGTCTTCGTGACAGTGTTCAGATCCTTCGTCCAACTGAATTGCTTTATCACTTGCTATTTGAACTCCAGGAAGAAAGAGAAATGCGTTTTCTACAAACTACTGAAAAAATGAACTCGGATTGGCCGCATGTGACATTTCTAGGATATTTTTTTGAAAAGGAGTACATAAGCAAGAAAGAAAACGTCTCTACACCCAAAATATGGCTTTGCAGAAAATGCTGCTTAACCGACAGAATGAGCATTAGAAAACTTCATGTTTATACACAATCGACAGAGGCTTTCAAGAGCTATCTAACAGTGAGTTATGTTTTAAAAGCTAAATATTCGTTTGTATAGAAAATAAATTAGTAAAAGAGATGTGTGGGAAATAGATGTAATTCATATTGTCACACTATGTGACCTATACAAACATTCACTTCTAATTATTACTAACAATGAAGGCATAAAGATGCTCGTATTCCTGCAACTCTGCCGCACATAAAACTATTTTACCTCACAAGTGCAGCAAAAGCATGCTTTTCTTACGTTGTTTTCTCTCGAACGTGATCAGGCAAACATACACTCAGTTATTTTATAGTTAAAGTAAGTCAGTCCAGTCAGAAGGCTATATCTCCATTGCTTCTCAAAATTTTCAAGAATGTTGCCAGAAGTGCTGTCATTCATACTTGACGAAGTTGTGCTTGTAGTTGAGGTCGAAGGTGTAGTTGAGGTCGTGCTTGTAGTTGAGGTCATGCTTGTACTACTACCAGTTATGGATATTGAAGTTGTGAGTGATGTTGTTGTACCTAAATATATTTAGCTCCGAACTTCATTTTGGTTGAGAGATATGCAAGCGCAAAATTGCTTTGAAATAGCTCTACACGATGACATACATACTAAAGCTGTAACGCTTTATAGCATTTAGGACTCATTGTATATCATTTTTCGTCCGCGAAAACGTTTTTACCAAAAACGTTAGTTGTTGATTTTGGCAGTTTCATCGCGTAGATGAAAATCCAAAATTATCTCTATGCGGAAAGCTTCAGGCACTTTGGAGTTTTTTCGAGGCTATGCTTGTTTAAGTTTTCTCTGTACCTAGCCCAAAACGGCCACTTTTGGTACAACAACTGCACAGTTCCTGTAGGTTTATTGGCTCACAAACATAGCGTGATCGGTAACCTATATTTCCATCGGTTGCCGAAGTTCCCCCACCTCACGATTAAATCGATCTGAGACTCTCCGATAAACATTGATAGCTAGCGACCTCTTCCTTTCTTAGATGTAAAGAGGATACACTGGGCTATTCAGCCATGGCATTGCAATTGAAAATACATTGCAACTCCAGTGTATAGCAATATTTTCTTTTTTAGATCTTCAGACACATCATCTGAAAAATCTGGGCTTTCGGGAATCACACATGGCTGGATGTGGTTAGATCTTGGATATAAAACGCTGAAAACCGCAGGTTTTTATCGCTTTTCCTTCAAAAGTTATTTATAAAACAAACACTTCAGCTATATTTTTATATGGATAGTACTAATTGCATAGGCTTTCGAAATTAAAACATTCGTCTGTGCATTGCTTTTGAGGGAGTGAATTGGCTTTTTAAAGAGGAAACACAATTGAAGTACTGCCGTTTTAGATGAAATTCTTATAGTATCTATCATATTTCCTGGAATAAAAGTAAGCTTACCGAGTTTTGCTGATAGAGGGTCCAGCAAAGTGCTAAAATACCCCCCATACTGTGCGGTCAGCGTCGCTCATAAGTACAGTCAAATGCACCAATAAGAATTTTGACTGGTGTTGCGATAACTGTACTTGTTATTGTAGTAATTAGAGCCCTGTGCACAGTGCGTATTCAAGCGGACATTTGGCGAAAAACCGAAAGTAGGCCTTTCCAAAATTCAAGTAGTGTCAAATATACTTCCATGAACGGTCTATCTAATGCTAAAAATGCTTTTGTCACAAGTAGTGAATTTTCGAGCAAAACGAATTAGTAAAAATACACTCGGTTTAAGCATCTTTCATGCGGAAAATTTTTTTTTTCTAATATCAACCTAATGTGAGGCTAGTAAACGTGTATATTTGGAATCCATGCGGTTTTAGCTATATATTCCAAAAAAAAATCCAATTCAACTCAAAATTGCGTCAAAATGTTCATCAGCACGTCCTGGATCTACTATGCGTGCGCAAAGGTGCGCATATTTTCCTCAGTTAAATTGCAGGCTTTCCAAAAACCATTCGGTTTTTGAGTGATGTTGAGATTTTCTTGGCAAGAAACACTTCTATTAAAAACTACGATGATATCTGGAATCAGCATGAAAAACTGCATCAGACGACATGAACTTTATAAATGTTTTGGAACGAATTTGGCAAGAATTTGAAAGAAAGAAAATTGATAATCCACCTTCGTACTAGAAAGAAGAACAGTCATCACGCGTTAATTAGCCCAAAACGCGTGATGGCGTGATAGCCCAACAACGCGTTAATTTTTTGGGCTCTGAAATGGAGAACTAAGGTTGTAGGTTTTCACATGGTATCATTCTACAACAGCTTTCAAGACTAAAATGTCAAATTTTTTTCCATTGTCATACCTGGTCGTTTTAACCATATTCCTAATATAATGGCTAATACAATACAAACAAATAATAGCCCAGTAAGAAAACCGGCGCAACATGCTTTTGTATTTGGCGAAGTCGAAACACATCGCCGCCGTCTAAAACAAAAACAAGCCCAGTATCGGTGGCAGATCTATTTCTATTTTAAATCATAAGTAGTTTACTTTATCGGTTTTTCCACTAGACTTTTCGCTGGATTTTTCAGATCACGTTCACCGCTGTCATATGATGACCATGCATCCGATTTAACAAAACTCGTTTCTTCAAATTGTGGTGATACATGTGCTGGTGATATAAGAGTGGATGGACTGAGCAGGGCAGCGAATCCTGAATCGGTCGCTGCTCGCATTGATGTTAACTGAGCGCCATTACCCATTTTTTGTAATAACCAGTACTTTTGAAGCATGCTCAACTCAACGTTCGTATCCTAGAAACGAGAAAAGAATCAAAACTTGTTTTACTCATTTTAATTTGCAGTGCGTAGCTCACATGCCAGAAATATGAAATACACGATATCTAACCAACTTCGAGTTCGATGGTTTAAGAATTCCAACATTCTGCTTCTCCCATATTCACACAGGTAAAAGGAAATTTTCATTACAAACTACATCCATTTCTATATAATCCCAAAACATCACTCGCTTCTACTATGTATTTCAGGTTCTCCAATGTTTCTTGAATAACTTTTGAAAGCAAAGCGATAAAAACCTGCGGTTTTCAGCGTTTCATATCCAAGATCTAACCGCACACAGTGGGCAATCAGGCGGACATTAGGGAAAAAATCCAACGCGAGATTTTTCAAGATCTGAATGGTGTCATATATACACTACTGAATGGCCGATCTAACAGCGAAAAAATTTTGAACCAAATCCATAAGATGACCGAGAAAGCCAAACGTCAATTTTTGGCTGATTTTTCGTAAGTTCTATAAAAAACTCTTTTTTCCTGACGAGAGTAAACACATTTAAAATTTGAAAGATATATATTCTGAAAGCTAATTATTTGGGCTATCGACTGGTAAAAAAAAGTCTCAGGTTGCCTCTCTTTCCTGTGTGAGTGAATTTAACTTTTTTTGGTGCTAAGTGTTTTTTCAAAAGCTGCACTCAGCAAAGTGAGTGCGCGAGTGTTAGCGAAGGTCCGTCGAAGCTGAAATTTTTAGCAGTTATTTACCTGGAAGTGGGCAACCTACAAAACTAGCAAAAAGTCGCAAATTTTTCCAGTTCCGAATTTATGAGTTTTCCAAAAACTCTGTTTTTTCAGCGATTTTTCGCGGTTTTTTCAGACAGAAAGCATCCTAGCTAAAAACTGAGGACAGATTCGGAATCAGCGTGAAAAACTGCAGCTAATCATGTGTCTTTCGTCCACTTTCGACGAACTCTTGTTGAAGTTTGCTGGAAACAGCGATTCTCCAAGGTTTTTCTCTTAAGCTGTAGCTGATGTTTTAGTATGGCGTCGAGCTTCCAGAAGCTGTGAAAACCAGCTTTCCGCAGGTTTTCGATCATGGCAAATCTAATGATGCAGTATGTAGAAAACCACTTTAAAACTTGTAAAGTGGTTTTTTAAAGGGTTTCCAGAAACCGGATCTCTGGAAACCCCCTCCAAAACTAGTTTTTGAAGATTTTCTGGTCTCCTTAGAAAGAACATGTCCGAAAATCTACAAAAGCTATATTTCGAGTGAAGAGGAACTAGGTTGTACCAAATGTCCGCCTGCCTATGGAAGATTGCCCACTGTGCCGCATTCACCCGTCTGTGATTCTCGAAAACCCAGATTTAGGTGCTTAGGTTCTTATTAGGTTGAAAACAGATTTAAAAACGAGAGGGGAGGTGATGAGTGGATGTGAGTGAACCACTTCATTAAAGATAGAGAGCACGTTTGGTTGTCACGTACGAAAATACCCAGGAACCCAGTAATCTGAAAATCTTAATATCAAAATGAAGGTTCTTGTTTACCAATTTTTAAGCTAAATTTTCCATACAAATTGATTTACCAACCTCAGTTTGTAGAGAAAACTAAGAATCTGAAGCAGTTTTTGAGTTTTGCTTCTTGCTGAATTTTTAAAGTTCGTTACGACTAAGAATTCCTCGCTTCATCTTATAGCATATAAACGGAAAGGTTGAATGCCTTGTGGGAGATTGCCAATGGAAGAGATGTTATAGGTGAAAAGCTAACTTCCGATTCCCCAAAAATCTACTTTTGCCGTCATGTTCGTTGTACTGCCTAGTGTTGCGAATGACTTTGGAATGAAGTAGAACATATTATTTTGAGACTTAATTATGTGAATCAATACACTTGCAAAGAAAGAAAACAAGTAGTGTATATGTTTATGTGTATACTGCTTGTCTATGTTTTTTTCAAGTAATCACTGTTTTGTAGTTCATTAAAAAAGAAAATACTTGCTAGCGTTGATCAACAGAAAAAATATTGGATTTATTATTATATATTTCTTTTCTTCTATGAACATTTTTGGTTCTTCTTTTCCTTTTTTTTTCTGCAACTTTCTTTTTTATACTACAGAAATAATAATCAATTTTTTTCTTAACAATGTATTGTACAATTTAATTTAAAGTTGTTGAATGGATTCATACACTATGTCAATTAAAAATAATATTAAGGATACAAACACCCATTTAAAAAGACCTATTGCAGCTAATAAAACAACATCCAGGTTTTTTTATTACAGCTATGGAGTCGGATATTTTTTAGGTGAAAGGAATACGATGGAAGTCGACGGTTCTCAATGCGTAGCCAAGACTGAAAATCAGCATAAATATGATAAAAACTAATACTAAAGTGCCAGCTGAAGATGGGGTCCGTCATTGCTTCTTGCGTAGGTCTTTCTACCATAAAAACTTGATGAATTCATACAACAGGATCCAATACAGAAGACACTTTTCTACATTTCTACGTAAGATCCAGACTTTACTATTGAAAATTTTTTCACCATGACAATTAGACAAAATGCTGTCAACACAACAGAAACTATTTTTTAAACATTTAAAAACATTATCTATACTCAGAATTGATTGGGCTATCAAACGATGTATGTAGAATCGTCACAGATCTCGTTATGTTTCCGGGAAAGCTTAAACACGGGTCAAAATAGGAAAATTTTCATGTATTAGCTATATTGGTTTCTCTATTACAATTGAACGAAAAGAGGTTGCAGTACGAAATTTATGCCAGTGTTCTGGCTTTTTTCTATGCTCTATTGAGTGGCATTAGTTTCGAAGCAAAAAAAGTGGACTTTTTCAGACCAGATTTCCCCAAAATTTTCTAACTTAAAGTAAACATTTAGAGCAAAACATTCTCTTCCAAATGAGACGTCGCCGAATTCCGTAGGTTTTTGTATTACTTTGATATCTTTACTTACGACAACAAAATGCAGAAAAAACGTTATGGAATTCCTTTATTGTAGCAGGGTTAGCTGATCACGCCGAACACTAACCCCAAATTGAATGAGTTTTACGGTAAAAAGAATCAACGATAGCACTTGATTTACAAAGCAAAGATTTTTAACAAATGTATTTTTTTAACAAAAATTTTTTTCTGAATAGCTTATTTTGGCACGAATAAAATAGCGCCACTATTCGCGCCAAAATGCGAAAAGTGATTTAAATAAAGAGATACTTTGCTGCCCGTACATTCATTCAATAAGCTATTCAGAAAAAAATTAGAACCGGTTCTATTCAGCGTATAAAAAGTCGATTTTGCGCCAATGTCTTATTAAACCGTTCATTTTTGGACAAGCTTCATTTTGGCATGATGATTCAACAGAAAATTGAGAACAATATTGTTCTGTCTGTCAGAGAAAAAAAATACGGAACTATCGTATAATAGAAAGAACATGTATGTATTATATTATACTTGACTTAATTGATTTTTATATTTAACTGGTGATATTTGATGTTACAAAATTATTTTAATCAGCATCTATTATCAAACGAAGAACATAGAAAAAATGATATTAAATATAAATGAGCTATTCTTTGGAGAATGTACCACATTTATATCGACTTTCTGTCAATCGTGTGATGCTTTCAGAGCTAATGGAACTTATCACTGTGATCACAAAAATCATTTTAAAAATTTTTCAAAATGACCGCATGGTGGACCCCGAAGAAAGCCCCGAAAGATTTTCTAGCAAAATTGTTTTATTATAACTTTGCCATTCCAAAAGATAAAAAGTTCAAATTGCTATAACAAATACTAATCACCAATATGAACATCTTTTATAGCAAAAAGATGTTCCCCTAGTGTTCTGGTTTTTTAAGAAAACTTATACAAAAACGCGATTTTTGGTGTTTTTCTCATTCAAATACCTCTGTGAAAACAAAATGAAAACTTAACAGCAATATATGACTTAGAATTCTCAATCTTTTGTCTTTTGTCTGTCTATAAATTTTCTGGTTGATGTATTTTCTATGGTAGCGGTCAGTGCTTTCTCTATTATTCAGTCTGGAAAAAAGCTAAAGCCTAGTGGTTTTCACCATTAGACAGACAAAAGATTGAGAATTCTATACTTTGCTCACCATCCAGTTTTTCAAAGAGCGGTTGACGTGGCAGTCTGAGGAAGCTTCCGTGGGAGAGTATGGCGGGTGTGGGAGCAGATCCCAACCCTTCTCTTCGATCGATTCGATCACTCGATGCTCGACATGGAGCTTGCCGTTGTCGTGCTGGAAGACGATGTGGTTCTTTTTGCGGGGTCTGTTGGCTTGGATGGCTGCATGGAGGCGGTCGAGCTGAGCCAGATAAACGTCGCTGTTGAGAGTATGCATCTTTTTCCCCGCCCGGTCTGGAATCGGCCATCTTTGCTCCACATCATTGTCATCTCACCAAAAACAGAAGCTTTGTTGACGAGTTTTGGCGATAATCTCCCAGTGGATAATGCCGGATCTGTCCCACCAAACACACCACATGGCCTTCTTGCAGTGCAAATTCTTTGGGATTCCTTTTGGGGTTTGGCCGGGGTCAACGCATACCTTCTTTCTTTTGACGTTTTTGATCAACAACCATGACTCGTCACCGGTAACCAAGAACTTCAGGAAGGGGTTTTGTTCGTTTCTTAAGCTCAACTCAGTGAAAATTCGGACCCTATCTTCTTTGTTCTTTTCCGATAGCTCGTGAGGGACCCACCCAGCCAGTTTCCACACCTTTCCGAGCTTCTTGAGCCGCCGTACGACGGTGGATTGTTCAACATTAAGCATTTCGGCCAAAATTCGGGTAGTGAGGCTTTCGTCTTCTTCCACAACATCCAAAAGTGCTTGGTCGTCAAAATCTGATGGTCTTCCTCTTCCATGTTTATCTTCCAAGCTTGTGTCACTATTCTTAAAGCGAACGAACCATTCTTTGACCGTACTTCTTCCAATTGTTCCTTCGCCAAAAAGCTCGTTGATATCGCGAAAAGCTTCACCAGCTGTGTTGCCTTTTTCAAAGTGATACAGTAATATATGGCGCACGTGAACGTGGTTTTCGACACGCATTTTTATCACTTAGAACATAAAGATTATTATTGGACAAAAAATCTATAAAAAAAATGCGATTTTTAAACACAAAATGGTCAACAAATAAAGTGACCGGGTAAATATGCATCAACCCAATATTTGTTACAGCAGTTTGAACTTTTTATCTTTTGAAATGGCAAAGTTATAATAAAACAATTTTGCTAGAAAATCTTTCGGGGCTTTCTTCGGGGTCCACCATGCGGTCATTTTGAAAAATTTTTAAAATGATTTTTGTGATCACAGTGATAAGTTCCATTAGCTCTGAAAGCATCACACGATTGACAGAAAGTCGATATAAATGTGGTACATTCTCCAAAGAATAACCCAAATATTTTCTTTATGACAAAAGAGAAACTTTCAGAAAAAAGCTTAATCATTGTTTTTCTTTTACAATTTTGGAGTTATACGACTGTAGTCTTAGATGAAAATTTCAGATGGACTTTCTGAACCACCATGATTTTTCGGTTTTCTCTTCATACCATGATATTCAGACAGGATATTACGGACCTTATCTACAACGTTCCCTTGTTATGTATGGGGTGACAGCACTTTCGTCACGTTAATTTTTGTCACACAGAAAAAAGAACTTTCGTCATACGTGACGAAAATGTATGGTATTTTTGGGGGAGTACCACTCCATACTTTGGTCACAAGAGTGGTGAACTTCCGTAACCAACTTTGTAGCATACCTACAACTTTCATCACACCGCATCGTGAACTGTTGTCACAACCCAAAAAGAACTACTGAATTACTCCAATTTGGACTGCTGGAGTGTGGACCACCTCAGACCGAACTAATTCCAAACGCATCAGACGCTTGATTCTGATACTTTGACTGTAGAAAAAGACTTCAAAAAGGTTTTACGGGTTTCGCTAAGAAAATGCGATGTTTGGAGGAAAACTGAAATTCAGAAATGTTTCTCAGATTATATCAAGCTTTATTTAATATTTCGTTTAATCGAACACTGACAACTTGTCCTGATCTCGAAAATAGTAAGCTACTGGGATGGGAAGTGCGTATTGATAAACAGGAAAAAATGTTTTATCTTGATCATATGTCATTGATAGCAAAATGGACACCACAAAATACCTTTCATACGGTACGTAAACTTCATTGGCTAAATGAATTTGCTCAGTATTATTATCAACAGCATCTGCAACAATTATACAAAACTTTGCCACTGTTTGTTGATCCAAATTCTATGAAACCAACGCTCGAAAAATTATATGCAACGGATGTAAGATACTGGCAACAAGTACGCGACAAGAGGCAGCACAGTTGTCAATTTGATCAAACCAAGTTTTGATAATCAAGAAAAACAATATTTTATTAATGCAGAGAGCCAAACAGTACAATGAAAAGGCATTGAGAAATTAGACAATAGTTTAGAGGTAAGCTGTATCAATTGACATCCGTTGATATTCTGCAAGAGGATAGTTGTACTTATTTAAGAATATTGAAACTTTTGTACTATATTTTTACCACTTACTGACAATAAATAACATACTTGGCGTATTAAAATTAAATATTCGCACAAGTCTTATAATTCATGACTCCTATGGACAAATAATGAAATACGAATTATTTAAATTGGGTAGAAATTCACAAGTTCTATTCGATGGCAAGTCAGACTAGTTTTTCTCAACATTTTTCACTTTTTTCGTATTTTTCAAGAAGAAACAGATGATATATGATATTAGAATATTGCGCACGCGCAAAAAAATTGGTGTACGTCATAATATCACGCTGTAAAAAAAGAGTATTTTCGAAAACTTAAAAATGGTTTTCGTGAATGTTAGTATATGAAACCCTTTTGGGTTTTTGAGACTACCTTTTGAAAGGGATTTCGAAACATCGAAAACGCTTTTCCTGTTCTCAAATCCTTTTTTATTCAGTGGAATTCTGTCCTCGAATACCCTTTCAAAAGCCTTTCTTATTCGGTTTGTAAACTCGTTGTCGAAAACCTGTTCGAGCTCAGTTTCTACAACGCATGATTACTTTTGGACACGCACCGGATTTTCAATCGGTTAACTGGAACCAACCATAACCGCAAAAGGTATTTTTATTTACATACATTCTTAAAAATACGTTTGAAACAGTATGAACGAAAGATCTAATCTGAGAATGTGCAGCGTACAATTCTGAACACTTTTTCTGTAGAATGAACATTTCAGATGTTCCTTCATACGGTTTCAAGCGTATTTTCAAGAATGTGTGCAAATAAAAGTATTTTTCACAGTTATATCGGTTCTCATGGGTTCCAGTTAACCGATTAAAAAGCCGGCGTAATCATACATGATGGGAAAGAAAGATTACATAGAATTTCTTTTCAGAAACCAAACTTGAACAGGTTTATAAACGGAATAAGTTATATCAGTTAATCAAAACTGTTGTATGCCTGATCACTTTGTAAAATCTTTACCTGGTTGAAATATGAAGAAATAAGAAGAAATATGACAGTAGTCGCTCTTTTTCAGAAACCTTTCTCCGGTTTTCGAGAATATTTTTCTATAGCACAGGAAAATTATTTATTGATTGAATCTGTGTCGTTTTTCTATTAATACAAGAAAACAGACAAACTACAACCCAAAAAAAGCACAGTATAAATTACGATAAAAAAAAGTTTTCTAGTTTAAACAACTGGTTTTGTCAGCCTAAATTATATTATTCTCGAAGAGGAAGCAGATTAAACTAAAACGTAATATAGTGAGGAATTGCAAACAGTTTGTTATAGAGTAGGAGCAGATATTATAGAGGAGAGCGAGGAGCATGCTGCAAAAGCGAAATTTCTGGATATTTCTCTTACTATCATTTTGCATTCGAATCAAAAATGAGACAACATTATTTTCCAAAACGAAACAGGGTTTCCGAAATAAGTTTTACACAAACGAAAGATCTTTTCTAAAACTCTAAGCAGTTCTCTACCTTTCGAAAACTGAAGAGTTTTATGAAAACAATTCAAATACTCGAAAAGGTATTTTCTAAAACCGACAATCGAATATCATGATATGCTTTAAGTTTTAGACAATACCTTGCTCAGTATTCGAAAATAGTGTTTTGAGTATGTGGAAGCTTTATGTTGTTTCCAAAAGTTTTCGAAAGTTCAAGTACCCTACATGTATCCTCGAATATGGAAAGGCGTGACATTTTTGACATAGTAATTCTTATAAAAACTATAAAAGGTTGAAGGATCATTCTAGCGCCATTTTGTGCAGTTTACTGTCCTTTGTCTCTGGTAAAAAAATGAGAAAATTTGGATAATATTTACGGCTTTGAGGAGGAATATTCGGTGCCTGACAGACGTGACAGAAAAGGACCTAAATTGCGAGTACATCCAATTAAATGCTATCTTTTTATTTTTATTATTATTCGCTGATGAATCAATAGTATTGCTTTTGTTTTTTCCGTAAAATTTGTTCAATTGATCTTCAATTATAACATCAACAAGTTGCGAAGGATAGCCATTCCGACTGGTCAGTTTACGACTATAATCAAACTCCTGGTGTAAACAATAGCAATGTGTTGTGTTTCTTTTTTACAATTTATGCATCAAATTCTCATTCTTGAACGTAACGAAACTACACGTGTTCCATCCTCTATACGTGATAATATTCGTCTAATGTATGAAAATGCTTTGACGGAGACTGCGTTTATTTGTAACAAAACATAAGAGTGTTAAAATTGTATACAGAAATTAGCGTAGAGCTTTGGAAATGGGAATTTTATGTGACCACTACACACAAGATCAATTCTGCTGCTGACAGAAAGAAAAGAATTTTTCAGGATCAATTCTGCACTATAACTATAAAAATTAGTTTATTCCGGGATCAGTTTTGTCAAAAATATACTTTTTCTAAACTCGGGGTTATTGCTATTTTTATCGAAACTTCAGTGTACGACCGGGGATAATTGTTCTTGACAGTCGAGGAGAATCTCGAATTGGATGGTTGAAAACAAGAAAGTTCAGGCAGAGCCGAACACTTAAACTACAGAATAAAGTATTTATTTCACTGAATATGTATGAGATGAGACTTAAAGTTATTAAAACTCACGACAGTTATGTGTCTTCTCCTTCACGGTCACCGCGAATGTTATAGTGGGTTATAGGTTATCAACTATGTGTATGACAGTTAATCACAGTACTTTGATAGCAGTAGGGCGCTTAGAATAATTCTACACATACAATACAATAGACAATCCTCGCTTGTGTTGTCCCTTTTTCTCTCAAACAAGAAAACATACATTTTTCTATTACATATCAATTTTGAAGCTCATGCGACAAGCATTTATGGAAACATGTGGTT